ATTACAAATACAACATTAAATCAGCTGTCAGATATTAAGTGTTTGACATAGTACTATCACTGTGGGATTGTTTTTCAAGGTTTGGTTTTCTCATCTCTTGAGAAACAACAAACTAACTCATCCTACTTTGAAAGAAATATGTAATTCATATTCGAGAAAAGAGACACATGCTAATCAAAGGTGTTAGTGGTGGGAGTAAATAACTACAGGTTGATCCCTATCCAAAAATCTGAAATGTTTCAAAATCTGAAAATTTTTGAGTGACAACATGACACTGCAAGTGGAACATTACATACATGATCTCATGTGATTGGTCACAGTAAAAATTCAATCAAAAACTTGTTTCATACACAAAATTATTATTATTATTATTATTTGGAGACAGAGTCTTATTATGTCACCCTCGGTAGAGTGCCATGGTGTCATAGCCCATAGCAACCTCAAACTCTTGGGCTTAAGCAATTCTCTTGCCTTAGCCTCCCAAGTAGCTGGGACTACAGGAACCCACCACAATGCTCGGCTATTTTTTTGTTGTAGTTGTCACTGTTGTTTAGCAAACCCGGGCCAGGGTTGAACCTGCCAGCCCCAGTGTATGTGGCCGGCACCCTAACTGCTGAGCTACAGGCAGTGAGCCTATGCACAAAATTTATTAAAAATATTGTATAAAATTACCTTTAGGATATGTGGCTAAAGTATATATGAAACATAAATGAATTTTGTGTTTACACAAAATAATGAAAAATATATATGTATAGATATCTCTCTTTCTCTCTCTATATATATACACACACATATATATGCAAAATTCCAAAATCAAAAACAGTTCTAGTCCCAAGCATTTTAGATAAGGAACAGTCAAGCTATGCCACAGAAACAGAGATAATCGATAATAAACAAAACAGGCAGCGTATGATGTCTCACTCCTGTAATCCTAGCACTCTGGGAGGCTGAGGCAGATGGACTGCTTGAGCTCAAGAGTTTGACACTAACCTGAGCAAAAATGAGACCCTATCTCTATTAAAAATAAAAAAGCTAGCAGGAAGTGGTGGTGTATGTCTGTAGTCTCAGCTACTCAGAAGACTGATACAAGAGGATTGTTCAGGACCAAGAATTTGAGGTTGCTATGATCTGTGATGCCACAATACTCAACCCAAGGTGACAGAGGGAGACTCTGTATCAAAAAAAAAGAAAGGTAATAAATAAGAATAAACAAAATAGACTGCAATAGACAAAATAATAAACAAAATAAACTTCATACCCAGAAGTTCAAAGGAAAAAAAGGTGTGACAATTGAATACTATATTAATTTATGCCTATTCTTCAAATTATTCCTCAATGAGTCAATTATCAAAACTATAAATAGTAAGCATTCCTCTTAATATATTTTTCCCGTAATACTTATTCATTTATTTGGGGGATACTCCTTCTTTTCATTCTAATAATTTTATAACATAATTTTTTTTTTTTTTTTTTTTGAGACAGAGCCTCAAGCTGTCCCCCTGGGCAGAGTGCCGTGGCATCACAGCTCACAGCAACCTCCAACTCCTGGGCTCAAGCCAGTCTCCTGCCTCCGCCTCCCAAGTAGCTGGGACCACAGGCGCCCGCCACAACGCCCGGCTATTTTTTGGTTGCAGCCGTCATTGTTGTTTGGCGGGTCCGGGCTGGGGATTCGAACCCACCACCTTAGGTGTACGTGGCTGGCGCCTTAGCCGGCTGAGCTATAGGCGCCGAGCCTTATAACATAATTTTTAAAGAAAATTGCTTTAAAATCACATTTATGATTCATAAACTGTAAAATTCCCCTTATCAAAGACAAAAAATAGTGCTATCACCTCAAAAAATTCCCTCATCCCCTTTGTAGTTGATTTCCCTCCCCAAGTTCCAAGCAAACACTGATCTAACATCTGTCAGTACCATTTTGTCCTTTCTAGAATATCATATAAATTCAGTAAGTATCTTTTAAAAATCTAGTTTCTATCCTATCACTTGGCAAAATGCTTCTGAAAGTCATATCTATGTTGTTGTATGTATTAACAGTTCCTTGTTTTTTTTTTTACTGAGTAGTATTCCATGTGCATGCATGTATTACAACATGTACTATATTTTGTTGATCCACTTAGCATTTGCTGGACAGTTGGGCATTTGGTTTTGTCCAGTTTTATGCTGTTATGAATAAAGCTGCTATATAAATATTTGCATACAGGTCTTTATGTAGACATGTTTTCTTTTTTTTTTTGAGACAGAGTCTCAAGCTATCCCCCTGGGTAGAGTGCTATGGCATCACAGCTCACAGCAACCTCCAACTCCTAGGTTCAAGCGAGTCTTCTGCCTCAGCCTCCCAAGTAGCTAGTAACACAGGTGCCCGCCACAGCGCCCAGCTATTTTTTTTTTTTGGCTTCAGCTATCATTGTTGTTTTGGCGGGCCCGGGCTGGATTCGAACCCGCCACCTTAGGTGTACGTGGCTGGCGCCTTAGCCACTTGAGCCATAGGTGCCGGGCCATGTTTTCATTTTTATTGAGTAAATACCTAGTAATGGGATTATTGTGCTGTCCTGGGAGCAAATATATAAATCAAGGCTTATCAGTAAAATTTTTATTAATCAATTAATCTTTGAAGTAGTATTCTATGTAGTTTAAAAGTCACCCAAAGCCACATGTGGTGGCTCATACCTGTAATCCTAGCACTCTGGGAGGCCAAGGTAGGTGGACTGCTTGAATTCCAGGCTAGCCTGAGCAGGAGTGAGACCCCCATCTCTACTAAAAACAGAAAAACTACCCTGGCATTGTGGTGGGCGCCTGTAGTCTCAGCTACTCTGGAGGGTGAAGCAAGAGGAATGATTACCAGAGCAAAAAAGTTTGAGGTTGGGTGGTGCCTGTGGCTCAGTGAGTAGGGCGCCAGCCCCATATACTGAAGGTGGTGGGTTCAAACCCGGCCCTGGCCAAACTGCAACAAAAAAAAAATAGCCAGGCGTTGTGGCGGGTGCCTGGAGTCCCAGCTACTCAGGAGGCTGAGGCAAG